TTTGGACCAAATAATGATAAAAGTTCATCATTATTTGGTCCAAATTCCTGAGGTGATGTGAATAATAATAATAATAATAATAATAATAATAATAATATCATCATCATCATCATCATCATCATCATCATCATCACCATCAGTCAATTGCAAAAGGCAGCTTTACTTGGAACAGCTTATATCCTGCGATGACACCTTTAACACCATCAAACAACAACAACTGCCTATTCCAGGTCCTTGGGAAGGACTTGGTAGGTAGATAAAAGTGCCAAATCTAGTCTAATCTATGTGACCAACAATAATAGTAATAATATGCCACCCAACTTCCAGGGATTCTGGGTGGTTTACAAATTGTTAAAAACATTTACAAACAAGGAAATAACACAACACAAAACAAAAGGAGCAAAGTTAGCAGAGATAACAAACCCAGAGGGAACAAAGACCAAAAAGAAAACAGGGCTTCAATCACTCTTGTTCAAGACCTGGTGAACAGCCACGTCTTCAGGGCTCTTCAATATACCAGTAGGGTGGGGACCATTTGAATCTTGGGGGGAATCTCATTATATGTAATTATATGTAATTATATTTTGTATATAAGATACTGGGTAGATTTATACATTATTTATACGTTAATGTGATTTGTTCAGTTTTGGCTTAGTCTCATGAGCGAATCCATGGTATACTGAATAAAAAACCCAGAGTTGAGTTCACTGAGCACACAGAGCATGCTAAACCTAAATCAGAGTATTCAAACCACAATAAGTGGGCTGATAATACAAACGAAACCATAACAAATAAACCTAGATTATGCTTTAACATAATGTGAATTCATGTCCATATGAAAGTTTGATCATATTGAGCTATGATGGTTTATTCACCCATGAAAGTCACTGCATGATGTTGTTGTAGTTATTAAATAATCAATTATGCAATGTATGAATTATTCATTAATAACCCCTTTGTTGTATTATAAGCAGTAATGATTATTGATGGGGAAGTGGAATGAGAGAGTAAGAGATGTATTATGTTTTAATTGGGGGGTATTCATATTTTTATTGTTTTTATTGTCATGGTTTTTAATTGTAAGCTGCCCAGAGTCACCCTCTGAGGGAGATGGGCAGCATATAAATTTAAAAATAAATAAATAAATAAATAAATAAATAAATAAA